AGCTGGGGGAGCAGGCTGCATGGACGGGGCACCTGGAGGAGTGGGTGGCTGGCCATGTTCAGGACAGACTGGAAGGGCAGGACGGGAGCGGGAGGCTTGGATGCCGCCAGCGTGGGGCGGAGGGCGCTCTGCCACCACGCAAGGTCCAGCCCCACTGGTCCCTTTTCTCCCTGCAGCTGCTAGGTACAGTGGTTTCCCAGGGTGGAAGGTGGTGGTGACATGGAGGGGGTCGAGTTTTCTCCAGATCAGGTCTGGGGTTGCCAGATTGTCCTAATTTCTGAGTTTAGCCCGTGTTGGCATTCTGGGCTGGTTTTTTGTTTGGTTTATAAGGACTTCGTGAAGTCACAGGCCTAGCAGCCGCAGCGCCGGGAATGGGAATCCTCCCAGGGGCTTCACTCCAGCGGCTGCCTTGGAGCAGCCAAGTGAAAAGCTTGGGACATTGAAGCACCCGGCCATGGAGTGTGTGTGCGGTACCCTGTGCTAGTAATCCCCAGACTCAGATCAGGAGGCACAGGCAAGCCTGCGCCAGTCAACAACCCCCTGCCTCAAAGTTACAAGGACTGGGGATGTGTCTCAGTGCTAAAGGGCCTGGCCGGCATTCATGAGGCCTGCTCTAAAATAAAAAGTGTGTGATGACAAAACACTGGAAATAGAAGGGACTTGGCTCTCTTGATCTAGTCCTGGCGTGCCGCGTTCCTGCCTGCCAAGACTTCCCGTGAGAGGAGGAGGAGGAACTGGGGAGATTTATTTGAACTGGGACCACAAAGAGCTCCTTTCCCGTGTATGTGAGGTCCTAGGAGTCACTCACAGAAAGAGAATACAGTGTCTCTTAGGCACATGAGAAGACATCTAACTCTCCTATCTCAAATAAGACAACAAACAGGATTCCAGTGAGGGGATTTTTATTAGATTAGCAAAAAAATAAAAGATTCATAGCGTTACTTTGGAGGGATTCTAGAGGAACACTGCCGTCCTGGGCTAGGGGGAAGGTAAATGTACATACCCGTAGAGATTCCAGATGCCGTCAGCCCACCAGTTCCACATGTGGCTCACCCTGCAGAGATGCACTATGCAGAGGGGCACCTGTGTAAGGTCAGTCATAACTAAGTGCCATTCAAAGGGAAGAGGTGGGTGCTCCTGGGCAGCCCTGGGGTGCCAGGTCATGTAGCAGAGAGGAAAGATGTTCAGGGGGCTCCCTGCCCCAACATCTACAGTGGCTTCCCAGTTGCAGTACAGGAAGCTGACCCAGAGCATCCCTCACCTTTCCAGAACACTCAGCTGTCCACCCTCCCCTCTTCCTGCTCAGACCCCGCCTCCTGCCAGCCTTCCTGCTCCCAGGTTTCCCACCGCCATCCCTTCATCCAGGTCTTTGCCCAAATGCTCTCCAGCCCTTTCCACACACCTATAGCTGACATACACCACAGCAACCCCTGTGCACCCCTTCTGGCCATCACTCAGGTGGCCAGTTCTCTGGGTCTCTGCACACTAAATAGGTACCGACAGAAAGTGGCAGGTCATAGCAAGAGTGAAGGACTGAGAGTAACAAAGACCTTGTGGTTTAGATCTGAGGTGTCCCCCCAAAACCCATGTGTGACAATCAGAGGTGAGATGATTAGATTACGAGAGATTGTGTGACTCTGCTGATCAGGGTGAACTGGATGATAACCATAGGCAGGTAGAGTGTGGCTGGAGGAAGGCTGTCACTGGGGTGTGCCTTGGGGGTTGCTGTTTTGTCCCTGTTGAGCAGAGCCCTCTACTTCCTGGTTTTCGGGTCCTGAGCTGCCGTTTTCTGCCATGACGACCCGCCTCACCTCAGGCCCAGAGCTGCAGAGTCAGGTGGTCATAGACAGAACTTCCGAAATCATGAGCCAAAATAAACCTGTCCTCTGTGTTGTTTTTGTCACAGCAATGAAAAAGCTAACTAAAACAGAAATTGGTACTGAGGAGTGGGACGTTGCTGTGACTGATGCGACCATGGGGCTCAGAAGCTTTTGGAGCTGGTTTGTGTGGCATGGGGGGGAGGGGTGTTTGAAAAGTTTAGAGAAGCTGCAGAATGTTGTAAGCAGAGCTTGATGGGTGACTGCAGCGAGTTCAGAAGACCTGAACGCCAGTGGCACTGAGGTTTCAGAGGAGAGGATGCGGTTGAAGTTGGACTGGAGGCCATTCATATCACGTTCTGGCAAAGAAGGTATCTACATCTTGCCCGTGTCCTGAGACTGGGAGGCTGAATTTAAAGGGGATGTAGTGATTGGTCTGTGGAGGGAATTTAGAGGTAGCGCAGCATTCAGACAGTGCATGAATGTTGCTGGTGGATTTTAGCCAAGCTTACCATGATAACCGGGAGCAGAAAGCAGAGCAGAAAGATTTGAAAAGCTTCCAGGCAGAAAAGTGTGCGCAAAACTGAGGCTAAGGAATGTGTGGCTGTTAAAGAAATTAGAACCACTAAAGAAATAATAGGAAAGATGGCTTGAGGGCTTCTCAGGAATTGGTAAGACCACACCTCTCTCTCTCCAGGGTGTAAAAGAAGACATTTTTTTGAGAAGAGACCAAAGGGGCATCCAGCTTGGGGGAGGGGGTGCTAGTAAGTTTTGGGGTTTGTTTTTACCATGCTTGGCCACCCAGGCATGCAGAGGCTGCTGCATCCGCGGTCCCAGCAGGCTCAGCTCCTAGTAGCTCAAGATGGCTGCAGACCTTGGCATCCATCACGTCGTGCTGGTGCTGCAGGAATGAAGGATGCTGGAGTTTGGGGTCGTGAAGGCTTCCACCAAGGTTGCAAAGGAAGGCCTGGAGGCCTGGCAGAGTGCAGCAGGGTCAGAGTCCCTGTGGGACGCCCCTGAGAGGCCAATACATGAAGAGGTGAGAAGGAAGCCAGAAGCCTCAGTGGAGACCCCAAAGGTGCCAGTAACATAGGACAGCACCGAGGAAAGCTGCAGGTACGGGCAGAGACAAGCAGCAGAGAGGCTGTGTGGGCCGCAGCCCACGGCCCCGGAGAGACCGTCACCCTGCCAAGTGCCCAGGTGCTGGACATGGAGCTACAGGACTTGCTCGCCCCCCAGGATTTCAGTCTTGCTTTGGTCTCATCCTTATTTTTCCCTTGTGGAATGGGAATGTTTACTCTGGGCCATTACATTGGGTATATGTGACTTGCTTTTGACCTTTACAGGGGACAACATCCATGAATTTATCTTAAGTCTGGGATGAGATATTGGACTTGGACTTTGGGGCAGTGGTAGAACTGTTGAGACCATGGGGACTCCTGGAAATGGACCAAGTGTATTTTGCATTGTGAGATGGGTATGAGCTTTTGGGGGCCAAGGATAGCAAGTTATGGTTTAAATATGAAGTGCCTCCCAGAAGCTCATGTGTGAGACAATGCAAGCATTTCAGGGGTTAGACGAGTAGATTATCAGAGGTGTAACCTTGTCAGTGGATTGATCTACTGATGGATTGTAGGCAGGTAGAATGTGGCTGGAGGAGGTGGGTCCCTGGGTTGTGACTTTGGGGTTTATAGTTTGTCACTCATGCTCTGCCTACCTGTTACCTGCTTACCTGCTCTAGTTACCTATCCTGAGCTGCCCTTCTCCACCACACCCTCAGCCAGGAAGTTCTGCCTCACTTCAGGCCTGGAGCTGTGGGGTTGCCCGAGGATGTACTAACCCTCTGAAACTGAGCCCACATGAACTTTTCCTTCTCCACACTGTTCTTGTCAGGTCTTTCGGTCACGGTAACAAAAAGGCTGTCTATGACACACCTCAGTCCCCGGCCATTTCTCACGTCAAAGCCCACAATACGGCTGGTGTTCAATTTACACTCCCAACAGTCACTGTGTTGCCAAGAAAATTCTGTGGGTTCAGGATATTTCTTCACTAAAGGCTGGAAATAATACCTTCTAAGGCAAATAAATGTATATCCTTAATTCCAAAGTTAGAAAAAAAATGTCCAGTTTCATTACGAACCCTGACACAACAAATCTTTGAATCATGGGCAGAAAAAAAGGAAAACCGACTCACTATAAAGGATGTTCTTGTGGGTAAGAACTTCAGATGCTCTCTGTGGTGCTGGGTGACAGTACCACACAGGGTTGAATTTCCCAGGGTGATCCTGAGTGCGTGACAGTAGGGTGCTTTGTTCTCAGAGCCTGCTGAAGGGCCGAGGGTGACACGTCACAGTGCACCCCACAACCTCAAATACACAGTGAAGGACAAGTGGATGTGTGAGATGGCAGGGCAGGCGTGGCCAGTGGGTGAAACTGGGTGAGAGGTGGGTGAATGGCAGGTAGATCTGAATTTTTAAAAAATGAGTTGAGAATTCTTTAGAAACAAGTGCTTCCATTACCATCAGCCTAGGAACACTGTCCCTAAGGAGTGTGTTCTCTAAGGGCGTGGCTCCCTACCCTGGTGGTGGCCTGCCCAGAGCCACGCTCTCCCAACTCCCACGCCTCACCTGCTCTGGTTTTCCTGTTCATCTGGACGCAAAACTCCTTCATGCCAGCATCATAGACACCCCTAGTCCCCTCTCCGTCTACCACTAGCTATTTTTTTTTTTTTAAGTCTGGCTAACTTTTATGCAGATAGAGGGGAGTCTAATCTACAGTAAGTGAATTCCTACTGTGTGCACTCTGTGCTACTCTCACCCAGCCCGGCAGCACTGTCGTGCAGACAGACCAGGTAAGGCCACTGACTTTGCTCTCGCCTTGAGCTGGTGCGGGCAGAGTTGGGTGGTGGAGGCTGTGGGCCTGGCTTCTTCCACCAGACAGCCTCGGCGCTAACTGAGGCTGCCACCTTTCAACTCCGTGAGCAAGTGACTTACACTGTGCCTCAGCTTCCTGGTCTGTAAGGCCAAGGTAGAACAAGATGCACAGAGTAATTTGAAAGAGTCTGTAAGTTACCACATATAAAGCACTCTAAAAAAATTCTTGGCATATAGTAAGGTGTTCAGTTAGTATTAGCTACTCTTGTGGCCTTGAATCTTTCTTTTACTTTTCTTTAGTAGCTGTGCTCACTACCCAGCTAGGACATAGCCCCCTGTATCCCGTGGGCTTATCACAGTGCCATGCTGAAGCAGAGAGGAGTACCAGCTGGTCACCCTGTATGCCCACACATCCAACTTTGAATTGGCATATTGATGGCATCGGTGTAGATACATGGGCATAGAGCCACTAGATCTGAATACCTGTCACATGCAGGTGTGAACTGGCATCTCCACTGTGAAAATGGTGGCTGGGCGTGGGGTGGGCTGTGGTCACAGTGACAGCAGATGCTTCTGGGTTGCCCCTGGGAGGGAGGGTCTGGCCTTGGTACTCTCCATTCAGGGAAGTCACTGTGCTGTGCCATCCATCTTGTGTTTTATTATCAAGTACTCACTGACAGGCGCATGGCACCCCATGGCCTGCGGTACCTGAGGTCAAAGCAACATGTTGTCAAGGTCTCCTCTGGCATCCAGCTCCACCTGGGACACTGGGTGCTGGTGAGCAGGGAAGGATGGGGGGATGCCAAGCTTCTGAGTCTGGGAGCTCAGTGGACATCCGTCTCCACAAGGGGGCACTGGCTATGCTAAGCCCAGGGGACACAGGAACTGCCATTCTTACTAGTGAGCAAATGGAAAAGATGAGCTGGCATGGCACGAAGCCCATGCCAGCTCATCTGGGGACTGAGCACAGCAGGCCAGTGCCCTGGGGCATCCTTGGTGGCTGATACACTTCATGAGAAGGCAGAGCTTGATCCTGGTCAGACTAGAACAGTGACGGGTGCCTGCTGGGGACACGGGCCTGTATTCTGGAATGCCCCAGGGTGGTTGCCATGGATTACTCTGGGCAGTGTAGATGGACTGGCAGAAGGCGTGTACCTGGCAGTGACCAGCAGGTGAGGTTGGAAAGCAGACATATTAGGACATCTGGCTTCTAGCAGCTCAGTGCAGCCTCCTGGACAGTGGGCACAAAGCTGACCCACGGGGTAGACAACGCTCAGACCCCTGGAACTCTCCAAGTCCCAACCCAGGCACTGAGGGCGCCAGCTGTCATGAGCAGTAAGCTGCAGTCTGGAGGCAGCTGGGCGCTCAGGATCCTCTGAGGCCCAGGCCTTCTTCCCCTGGGAACGAGTTTTCCAATGGGAAGCCGAGCCTCAGTCTTTGATCCTGAGTGACCAATCCGCACCTGAAGGGCAAGTGACCGCAGCCAACCACACATGCCTAGCAGAGAAGCAGGCGGGAAGGGACAGCTGAGAGGAAGGGCGGTGGGGGCCAGGGCCTCATGCACTCCCCCAAGGGGTTCCCATACTTCCCCGAGGGGACTCTGCGCTCTCCTCAGGGCACCTGCTCTGCAAATGCTGGGGTGTTTAGGCCTACAGAGGGGAGAGACTCGGGGAGATGGTAGAATGATGGCTGTAGAGGGCTGGGGGCCTGCGGGGTGGCGCAGGACATGTCTCCGACCATGCCAGGCCCCATTGCCCCACCACAGAATCGTCACCAGCCCCACGCAAGCAGACACCCTGGCACCCGTGGCTGAGAAGGCACCTGCCCCCTGCACCTACCTATTGCAAGCAGGAGTCCAAGGACAGACGGACATGTCCTGCCTTCAGCTCCAGGTGGCAGTGCGCCTTGGATTTTTCCAGGTCAACATAGGGCCTGTGGCGGCCACCGCAGGTGACAACAGCCTGAGGCATGCCCTCGAGATGCCTTAATCCTCCTGCTTTGCTCCCGAAGCTGTACCCGAGCCCAGGGCTTCCCTGCCCCGACGTGCCAGGCTCCACCAGGGCCCCTGGCCTGCGGAGCCCACGGTGTACCATGGCCCAAAAGGGCACTGGAAATGCTTTCTGTGGTAAGTTATTTTAGCCCAAAGCCTAGACTAATGCTCAGTGGCTTCAAAATCTTATCAGAAAGAGAAAGTCTTTTGCCAAGAACTAAGGATGAAGAAGACACGGGGCAGTGGCTGCCTCCTCTTGGGTCAGCTGGCCTGGTGGTTAGTCACATGCAGGAACTGAGAAAGGCCGCAATTCAGAGACCCTTGGAGGTGGTCATGGGACTCTTGAGATAGCACAGGACTCCACAAAACACAGCTGAGCGTATGGTGTTGCATGTGCACATTTATTTCTTTCAAAGGTCATTCATGTCCTAGCCACACGATCTTTAGAGGAAACTGCCCAGAGCCAAGGGCACGGGCTCATGAGACCGGCACCTGTTTGTAAAGTGCTTCCAAGGAATACAGTCATCGCCATGGCATCGGCCACCGCGCTCAGAACCACGCCAGACCTTTCCACCCGGGAGAACTTTCTTCTCTTTTTAAAATGCAGCTTGACGTGGCATGGGGGAGAAGACAGACTGCCAGCCAAGGGATGATGGAGCATCGCTGACCCGGGTGAGCCGGGGGGTGGACGAGTGTCCAGTGCCTCCAGCACGGGGGACAGGAGTGCAGGGGACTATGAGCCAAAGATAACCTGAGCTTGTAGTGCAGGGTGAGGCGTTGCTTTGGTAATCACTTCTGGGCCAGTTGGGGGCCGTGGAGAGAGGGGCTGATGTGAGGCTCAGTGCCCAGGCCTGTTTCTGTCTCAAAGAGACACATGTTTTGACTTCCAATGTCCATCAACTTGTAGTCTGTAGGTTCAAGGCCAAGAACCTTAAGTTTATTACCCAGAAAACACCCACTTTGGGTGACAGCAATGTAAATTAATCTTTCCCTTTCTGCTCAAGAAAAATCACAACTCTCTGTAGATGTGACCAGTAAGACCAAAGCAAAAGTCCAGACGGGCACCTAATTTGTCATTGGCTGGCAGCAACTGGCCAAGTAGCATGGCGAGGACCGAGGGCTGATTGTGAACTTAAATTTGAAACTAGATTGATAAAGTGCTCTGTCTAATCCTCTTTGTCACAGCAGGTTTGAGCTGGAACAAAGAGACCCCTACTTTGTTATTGCTACGTTCACACACACACACACACACACACACACACGTGCACTGCATTCCTCCACAACAGACGCAGGCTCATCCTCAAGCAGAGGAAGGACAGGGCTGCCAGCTCATTCAAACCCACTCGAGCACCTGCTCAAGACAGGCAGACCCACACTGGCATGAGTGTTCATGAGGAATCACCTTTAAAATGCCACTCTGGGAGTCTGGGTGGCACAATCGGTTAGCACGTGGTACTTATAAAATGCCACTCTGCAGAAATTCCATCAAGACAAAAAAAAAATATATCCTCAACTGGGAATAAAGGAGATTGACACGTAAGTGTGGTCAGCATTCAGTGTAGGATCTTAATCACCTTTAAGACATTCACTTTAACATAAATACCTCACACTGTTAGGAAAAAAAAAAAGAGCAGACCTAGATAAACAGCGTGGGAGGGAATTTCACAGTATTGCACAGCCTGTTCCTCAGGATGCCCCCTGCACCCCAGAAGCAGTTTCCTCTATGACTCAGAAAAGCCACTCAGAGATGGCGAGGGTGCACCCCCAGGAAGTGAGCCCCAGACCTGGGTGTTGAACAGCAACAGAACGTTCATGGGGGGACCTGGGAATGGGATGGTGAAACCATTTCTTCTACTTTTTTTTTTTTTTAATTGAGCCTACATGAATTTCAAAACCAAACAGACCAAAAAAAAATTTTTTTTAAATATTGTATAGGTTGAGCATCCCTAACCCCAAAATCATAAATCTGAAACTTTTAAAGCATCGAGGAGCTCAAAGCATTTTGAATTTCCAGGCGTTTCAGATTTTGGATTTCTAGATTAGGGATATTTGATTGGTAAAGTCTGTTCACACATTCAAAATCCAAAAGCACTCTGCAACAATTTTGGCGTAAGAATTTCAGGTAAGGGATGCCCAACCTATACAAACATTTCTGATGGGATTCTGGGATTCGGACACATAACACCCTCTTAGATTGGATTCTCAGATGTCACAGGTCCTGCCCATTTCAACACAAAGGACAGT